CAGAGGTCGCCCGGTTGGGCTAGTCCCAGCCCACTTGGTTCTCGGAGGTAAGGTTAAACATCCAGGTGCGATACCTAATTCGGGTCAGGGGGTGGACGAGCTGAGGTTGTTTGTCTCGTGGAGGTCACCCTTCGGAGGGTGCGGGGTGATCCTTGCCGGGGGCAATGGTACAGGCGCTATTTCCACTCGACCGGCCGGAGCGCGCCTGGTTCCGACCGCGGGGTTGGGGCTGGCTGGGAAGGGGAATAAGGGAAAGGGAAATGTGTATGTACTGAGATGTTTTGTTCGCAGTTACAGGACAAGTAGTACATACCGATGTTTGGCATATTTATTAATTTATTTATCTGATTTTTTCATGTTTTTGGTGGCGGTCCTTTGTTGGATTTCGGCGTTCGGGCTGCGCATTGGTTGTATGTTTGTGTGTGGGGATATGGTACGCGGTACAGGCTACTCGCGTGATTTTCTGATGTTCAAGTTTAAAAGTTCAATAAATGTCGAACTGTTGTCGGCGTGTGTGCTTGACTGGACGGAGTCTGCAGTCTAAGGCAACAATAAAATGACTTTCAGCATTATGCAGTGGAACTGTAGAGGTGTGATTTCAAAGTGGGCGGAGATAAAACCACTGCTGCTTGCAAGACCACATAGTGCCGTATGTCTCCAAGAGACACACTTCCTCCCTACTGACCAATATGATTTCAGAATTCCCGGATATACTCTTTATAACGCTTATTCTGACGCACATATTAGACGAGGCGGAGCATCAATCTACGTCAGCAACGACCTACCTCATTTTCAGGTCACACTAAATACTAATTTTCAGGCGGTGGCATGTTCGGTGACAATGGGGCATTCTCGTATTTGTGTTTGTTCTTTATACTTACCACCAAACGAGAATTTGACGTACCTTGAACTGAACGACTTGGTTACACAGCTACCGCAGCCGTATATCATAAACACGGACGCCAATAGTCGGCATTTCTTATGGGGTGCAGACCGGTGCGATTCTCGTGGAAAGGTGTGGGAAATGATAATACGGCAACATGCCTTAAACGTGATGAACGATGTTTCCCCAACCAGAATAGACGAGTACACAGGATTATGGTCACATATCGACCTGACTGTGACGTCAAGCAGTGTGGGACAATTCATGCATTGGCAAACGGACACTGACTTACACTCCAGTGATCAGCTCCCAGTTTATATTACATATGATAGGTATGGAGATATTCCACCACGACGTGACGAATTTACTGGTTGGAATATTAACAAGGCGAACTGGTCTGAATTTACTGACAGATGTTGTTTGCGATTCAATGAAAGGGACGGTATGCAAAACTACCAAAACATTACGAAGGTTATGCTGGGAGCAGCAAAAGAAAGTATTCCTCGGAAAATCAGAAACACCAAATATAGCTGCCCCTGGTGGACTGACGAGTGCAAGGAGGCAATTCGGGCAAGGAAACGGGCGCTCAATCGATTCCGACGTTCGCACACACATCTGCATTTATTGGCTTATAAGGAGGCGAAGGCGAAAGCCAGAAGGATAATTCGTACGGCAAAGAAAGATTCGTGGGAAAAACTATTGCATATGTTCAATGTGAATACGCCGATACAACACTTATGGGACATCATTAGGAAATTTACCAGAAAGGAGCGATTTGCGAGACCCTTACCTGTTCTGAAGGTGGCTGGTAACATAACTGACGACCCAACTGAAGTTGGAAATATCTTCGGACGGTTGTTTTCTGACATGTCGTCCTCTCGGAACTACCGAGCCACTTTTAGAGAGCTGGAATGGCAGATGATGGATCAAATGCCGTCATTTATTTCTGACAATGAGGAGGTTTATAATGATGTATTCACGATGACTGAGCTACAAATGTCTATTGCTAAATGCGGCAATACATCCATTGGACCGGATGAGATACATTACGCGTTTTTTAGACACCTACCTGATGAACAATTGCATTCAATTTTGGAAATGATGAACTGCATATGGTGTGGAGGTGATATCCCTGATGAATGGAGACACTCGATTATTGTTCCTATTTTGAAACCAGGCAAACCTAGGGAAAACCCTGAGTCATATAGACCAATTCAGCTAACTTCATGTTTTAGCAAAATAATGGAACGAATGGTCGCCAGACGGTTATCCTGGTTTCTTGAGCGGAACAATATGTTGTCTAAATATCAGTGTGCATTTAGGAATGGAAGAAGTACCACAGACCATGTAGTCAGGCTGGAGTCCGAGATTAGAAAAGGTTTTTTCTACAACAAATATACCTTGGCTGTTTTTTTGGACCTTAAAAATGCATATAATCTCACGTCTAAAGTTGCTTTGCTCACAAAAATGTTTAATATGGGTTTTAGAGGACGCCTTATGTATTTCGTTAGATCGTACCTTGATAACAGAACCTTCCAGGTGCGCAATGGAACATTATCGGATACGTTCGAACAGGAAAACGGCTTAGTCCAAGGAGGAGTTATATCCCCGATATTGTTTAACATCATGATTGATGACGTGTGTGGAAATGTCCCGAGTGAAGTGTCCCGAGCGCTGTACGCTGACGATTGCTCTCTATGGGTGCAGGGAAGGAGAATTTTTCATCTAGTTAATAAAATGCAGGGGGCGTTGAACCATGTGAGTGCATGGGCTGATCGGTGGGGTTTCCTTTTCTCACCTCACAAATGCAACGCAATTGTATTTCGAAGGTATATGAAGGCAAGAGAGATGACGAACATACCTAACTTACATATATATAACCAGCCGTTAACATACACCGACACCGTCAAGTTTTTGGGAGTGATGCTGGACTCTAGGCTGAACTTAAACACGATGATGCAGTACATTAAAACAAAAGCTGTCAAAAGGATATCAATATTAAAATGTTTATCTGGAAAAGGCTGTGGCGCAGATCGTTCTACACTATTGAGAATATACAAAGCCATGATAAGACCGATATTAGAGTACGCATGCCAAGTTTTTGATGGTCCCCGTAACAAGGCAGTGGAAATGATTGATGTTATTCAAAATGAATGCATTAGAATTGCTACTGGAGCCTTTAGAACTTCGCCCATTTTACCATTGATGGTTGAAGCAGACATACTTCCCTTGAGACTGAGGAGATGCGACTTGTCTCTCCGTTATTCCCTGAAGATACTAAGTCGAGAGGATCATCCATGCAGAAAACTTATGGCCAATGAGGCTGCGTTACATGAGGTAGAGACTGGATATATGAAAAGGATTTCTGGTTTCCCGCTATATGAGAGAATACTTGATATGTGCCATGAAACAGGATTCGATTTCCCAGAAGAGGTGACCTTAAAACGCAGCGTCGTTCCGCCATGGAGATTACGTAAATGTACGTTGATAAAGTTGACTAACAGGAGCAAGAGAACGCTAGATGAAGTGCAAATTCAATGTGAGTTTAATGATTTGAGAAGCAGGTATACAGAATACGAGTTCATATTTACCGATGGAGCAAAAAGTGCAGACGGAGTTGGATGTGCTTTTGTCCACGGTGAAAGACGTCAAAAATTTAAACTTCCTGAACTTTGTTCGATATTTATAGCTGAAGGATTCGCAGTATTACAGGCTCTGAATTATACACATACAAATCGCATCCTCAAATGTGTTATATGCACAGACTCCTTGTCCATTATAACAGCCCTGGGAAATCCGACTTCTGAAAACCCGATCGTGATCCATTTACTAGAGACGGTCAGTCAGCTTATTGAAATGGGCAGTATAATCATTGTCCTCTGGATCCCAAGCCATAGTAATATACGTGGAAACGAGACAGCGGATGCACAAGCAAAGATGGACTATAAGATTGAATGACGTGTGTAATTTTCAAATGGGTCCTAAATATTATTTTCCTAAAGTGCGTCGAAGTATTCGTGAATTATTCAACAAATATTGGACAGATTACAACCCTAGGACTAATTTAAAACGCATCAAAGAAGAGGTAGGAGACTGGGTCTCCTGTAAGCGAGCAGTCCGACGCGAAGAGATAGTGCTGTGCCGGCTTAGACTTGGGCATACTCGCTATACCCACGCATACATGATAGATAGAAACCTCCAACCTGAATGTGAACGATGTCAGTGTCCATTAACAGTGTATCACATTCTTCTTGAATGCCCCGTATATTTTCACGAAAGACGATCATTGGTAACACTATGTCAACGGTCCGGAACACAATTTTGTGTGAGGTCGCTGGTAGGAAATCAATTCCCGGACATCATTGATGGAGTGATGAAATATTTGCGACACTGCGACCTACTGAAACAATTGTGAAGTGCTGCCTTTGCGTGCGGGACAAGTGCAATTTTTGCTTTGCTGTCATTGATTGCTGCCATGTTGTTTATACTATATTGTAATTGTTTGAAATGAGTTGTTTATTCTATGTATAATTTAAGCTTGCGTGCATATCTGCGTACGATGTCTGACTGGATGCTTGAGAAATGTGAGAAGCAAGGAAGTGGTATAGGAATTATGTGTAGCAAATATGTGTATATGTGTGATACGTGGGTGTGTGCGTAAGCAGAGGAGATAACATGAATGAGGTTTGAACGAGCATGGTGAAGACAGATGAATGTGCGTGCATGCGTTAGAGTACACGGCATGGCAGATATGTGAAATTTCCATCTGGTAAATGCTTTGTTAAACGGCAATGTTGTGACTGCCGACTGACTGATGACTAACCTGCAACGTCTATCATGTGGGGAAGCTGCGGTTAAAAGAAAATGATAAAAAAGAGCCTGGCAAAAAAAACCGGACTTTTTGTTCTCTTGTTTTAGTTCACTAATCGGTTTATGTATCTGAACATTTAACACCGAGTTTTCTAGAAACTAACACAGTTTACTGCACCTCCTTGCTACACCACTATCCTGCACGAAAATTCCTGACCAGTGCGACACATTCCTTCTATCCTCTGTCAGCGCTTAGTTGCCACCTGTGCTACCAAACTTGCAAGACAACACTTCAACGATGGACGCCTGAGCCCAAGAGGCTATGCGCCCTTAACCAACAACAACAACAACGTTCGCAATTGGTCGCAAGGAAATGGAGGGTAGAAGGCTAACGCCGCTTAGATCTAGGGCACTGAGCACCGCGTTTTATGTGAACATTAATCGCATGTTCATGGGTACTTCAGCTGTATGTTAGTGTCAAGCGTGAGGAGAATACTCTGTTCACCCTTATATATTGGTATGACCTATATCCTCTAACGTCGTGATGGCCTATTTCAGAATGAATCGTCTTGCTGCCTTGTGAAGAATGATCCCATTCATTGCTCTAAATTGAAATATGAAAGAGCTCTGGTAATGCACAATGCCTTCATACTTTGCATCTTGCATACTGATAATTGTGTCATCAGGATGATCACAACTCATCTGTTAGAGAGTAACTACTCGACTCCACCAAAATCAGTTACAAAAGCTCATTTTTTTGTTTGTTTCTTGAATGCAGTATTCATTCCATATCTATTATGTGTGTGTGTGGAAAATTTACCATGTCAGAATTGTTAGGGCTGCCTTACTTAAGACCACATTTTAACTCTTTACAGATTGAGTTGGCCTGCAAAATGTTGATTTTTCCTGTGCTGTAGGTGTGGAGGAGAGAATGTTGTCACATTTCCCATCAACATCTGCCAGTTTCCATTTACTGGATGTTTGGTTGGAAAGACCACAATGGTTTGAATATTAAGCATAATAGCTATGAAGCCCATTTGTTGGTCCCTGAGCTCTGCACCAGCCAACACTTGTTAGATAAATGTGGATGTGTTGTATGTGGTCAATCCCCTGCAAGGCCCTTTTTCCCATTTCACACAGAGTGGAAAAGCTCTTCAAACCTTGGCAAGTCATTTTTGCATAATAATCATCATGTATGTGCAGTGGTGACTCTGCCATGGTGTGGAAAACATTATATTTCAAATATGTAAGTTCAAAAATTAGTTGATGTTCCTCATTATTGACTTAAAACATTTAAGTCACCCAAGCCAATATACAAACAACCAGCTCAGAAGAGTGCACACCAAGCTTTGCACTCAACATCAGGGCTACAAAGCTGATGTTAGGACTTCCAGCACCAATTCATTGTTCTGTTTTGATTGTCCTTTTTATGTCTTGGTTTTGAATTTTGTGTTAAGCACCATGGAACACAATTTTGCATTGCATATCTGACCTACCTGTGACATGCAGTGCACCTTGCAGATCTTATAGAGCTTCCTAGCTTATTTACTGCATGGATTGTGTATGTTGAATCCTGGATGGCCTTGCAAATGGAAAACTGAGTTGTTTGAAATGTATTCCAAATCCAGCATAAACAACTCACTCATCTTACAATGCAACCTGCTAACCACACAAACCTGATACATTACTCATAATGCAACCCACTTGTATATTTTCAGGCTCTACCTGACTAAGGTGCTGCCCTGTTCAGGAAGCTGTACATTATTTTTTTGTCTGTATATGCTGGGATTAAAATGCAGTGTGTCATACCTGGCTCCAACATAAAAGGTGAGCATTCCTTCTGTGTCCAAGATGTGATTGATTGTGAAATATATATACAGATATATCAGTTGTATATGATATGTCAGGGCCTACATCATCCACTGAATGACAGCATTGTTAAGATGTGAGAAGTTCACATTATTGTAACATGGCAAGGCTGACAGGTGGGTTTGGCTCCTTGCTGAGCTCTGCCATTTGCTGTGCCACCTCCGCCCCTGCCCTGGCCGCACCGTACGCCCGTGCTGAGCGAGGCGGCCGTGCCACAGTGCTGGGCCGGGCCGTGCACGCGCTGGCTCGGATCGGCTGACGAGCTGTACGTGGACCCGGACCCGGATGTCGTCTCGCTGCGCACCGTCAACTCGTCCCGCTCAGCCTACGCGTCGGTGGCGCTCCAGCGGCCGTTCTTCGCCCAGTACGCGGCGGGAGCGGCAGCAGGCCAGGAGGCCGTCAAGTGCAAGGTCGCGCTCAAGGTGAGGTGCTGCGTTGCGCCGACTGCAGGCGCCAGACGCGCCCACGGTCAGACGCTGCAGGGGTTCTGCATAAAATTGTTGATAGAAACTGGCTGCATGTGATCTTGGCCATCATAATACTGTTCTTTTTCAGTCACAATGCTACATCCCTCCACACGCTGTGCCGAGTTACCATACGGTTGCAGTGCTCTTGAGAGCCGAGTGGTCGTCATGTTGGCTTCTCTGTTCTCATCCCAGGCCTGCCTGTCCGCGTTCCGATCACTGGCGTCGCTGGAGAAGACAGTAGAGCGGTGTAAGATAACACTGGAAGAGAACAATTCCAGAATGGTCGTTTTTATGGAGTGCAAGCATAACATCAACAAAACATACCATATAGCATTCATCGAGTGTGAGACCTTGCAGGTATGTATTGGATGGGGTGGATCGTTGATGCTCGTGTTTTTACGCATGATTATACCTTTTTGTGAATTACCACTACGTCCACTGATGTGCTATTCATCACCACTACTCAAGCTGTTTGATGTGGCTTTATGATGGTTTTGCGATTTGTTTGTCACGGGACCCGTTTCCCCCTTCCCCGTCGGGCTGTTTTCCATCCCTCGGCATCGAGCCCCAGCCCGGCCGCTCCATGTGGTGCCGTCCGGCCGGCAGGCGGTGTACTCGCCGGGGGACGCGGCCAACCGTCTTTCGGCGGCGCCGCGGCTGCTGCAGGACGCGGCGGCCCACTTCCGCACCGGCCAGGAGGAGGTGACGCTCTCCGTCACGCCGCGCCAGCTCACCATCCGCAACTACACGGACGACGAGCCCGGTACGGGGGCCCGCCGGCGCCGAGCAGGGGCCGGGTCGCTGCTGGACAGGCTCTAGGGGCTGGCGTGGGAGGAGGGTGCGAGTGTGGAGGCCGGATGGGGTCAGTCGTGTGACCGTGGTACCGTGCTGAGGTGAGCGGTCGCCTGGCTCCAGCATTTTTGTGAGTCGTACTGTAAAACTTGTCAAATGTGCAACATGGAAAATGAAATCGTACCGCAGCGTGCAAGGTCAGACGCAGCTGCATGTTGCTCATTGTATTTTAGCGCCTAATCGCTAGCAGTCCAACAGTGGAATGTAGTCAGTTTCACTCTGCAGGTGTGCTTTGCATTCTTAAGTCCGCTATTTTAGCACACCCCGTGTCAACAACGGAACACATTATCGCGGTAACCCTGCTCTCCTGCACTCGTACCTGGCCTGATCTAGCCGCCAACCTGACACGTGTGCAGCGTCACGCGCGTCGCAGCCGCTGCTCGCCCTCTAGGCTGCCGTGACCCGGGCATCCAGATCCCAGACACAGAACCCTCCTGACGCTGCCGTGTGGGCCAGACCCGGCCAAGGCGATCCGGACGGTGCTGGCGCTCAGCCCGGCCGAGTTCGACGGCTACACGATTGGCGCCGACTGCGAGGTCACCTTCTGTCTGCGCGAGCTGCGAGCCGTGCTGCTCTTCACCGAGCCGCTGGCCGTGCCGCTGGCGCTCAGCTTCGACGGGCCCGGACGGTGAGCGCACCGCCCGCGCCGCTGCCGGCGGGCAGACTGAGACGAGCCTTCTTGGAGGCGGTGTCTGAGAACATTCGCTCCGCCCATCAGCCGTTTTGAGTGAAAATGTTCCGTGATAAGTGTATTCTGTGTGCAGGAGCTGATGCCCTAGCTGATGTGGGCCGTTGACTTGCATTGTAGCCGTGCGCTACGGACACGTTCGTGAAGTGGGTGCCCGGTCGAACATCGGACGGTTTACAGTCCGGCACGATTGATGTTGCCGTGATGCGGTGCTGCCGTCGGCCCTGTGCTGCATTCTGGGTCTCCGGCGTACCGATCAGTGTCGCATCCCACCTTTGCAGGCCAATCGTGTTCTGCGCCAGCGTGCCTCACTCGGTGGAGGCGCACTTTGTGCTGGCCACGCTGGCCGAGCGAGGCGACACTCAGGCGGGCTCGCAGTCGGCGGCCGCCCAACGTGCCCACACCTCCGCCCGCGGCGTGAGTCGAGCGGGGCGAAGGCAGATGGAGAGGAGCCCCTCCTTGGGGCATTGGTCAGGGACACGAGACCTCGTGGAAAACCGGGGCGGCGCAGGCTGGTCCTACCTAGCGTGCGGAACAGCCCATAGTTAGTCGAACGCCGATCGATCGTTAAGTGACTTGTGCGTGGGTACTGTCTGATATAAGGTAGAGGGTGGGGTCTGCACGCATGAGAAAACAAAAGGGAATGGATCGCTGCGTTGATGACGTCTGAAACCAGGTTGGGTGTGTACCGTGATCGCCATGTTAAGTGATGAACGCCGCAGTTGCTACGCTCTTGAAATGCATCGCCTTTCGTAAGGCATACGCAACGACCGACTTTGCTTGCGCTGTTAGCAGAGCTGCGTGGAGGCGTTGGCTTGGCCCAGCTCTGAAGGGGCCGGAACGTTTCAGGATCGCCTATCCACTGGCTCCGCGTACAACGGGACGGCGAACAGCACGGCGCGGTTCGACGCCTCCGCTCGGCCCGTCTCCCCCGGGCCGCCCGCTGACCCAGGACTGCCAGGTGAGGGCGGACGGAACGGCTGGACCCCTCTCCTAGGCACGGTGGGGGTGGGGAGGCCCCATTGTGAGAGCTGGGTTTCGTGGCTTAAAGGGCGTGCTCCACATTCCTATGGCGTTTGGAGCTGAAATTGGAGCCATCTGCAAGATCATAGGGTGTAGTTTACAGCCGTGCCCTTCCTCAGACCTTAAGTCCTCTAGTTTATGGGCTGCACGCCGGCGAAAGTGTGACGACTATTAAGGGAATTTAAAAGAAAGGTATTTCAGGGTCACCTTGGCATTCGTGACGTTATAGTAGCGGCATTCAAATCCTGCCATTCCATAGACCGTACAGCGACCGTGGCCAACAATATTATGGTCGAGTCGTTCATATATGGTGTTCGTGCGATGTTCATCGATATCCGTCCCATCACGATTTCCAAATATAACGGCCAACAATCAATGTTGTGCAAGGTACGATGTGCTCAAACATTGGCGTATAGAGGAGCACGTTTACTAAACAGGGATGTGGTGTTATCTAGAACAGCCTTTTCCACTTGAACGTATACCGATACTTACAACGGACTTTGTTTCATCATATCTGACACCTGCTTCAATATCCTCAATGTGTAGCATTCCCTTTAGATCTCTCAGCAGCTGTGAGGTGTTCAGTAGTATGCAGACGTGCGTTTGGTACGTCGCCACGTGTCTGTGGTTGGCCTGGTTGGCGGCAGCGCGGCCACCGTCTGACGCCCGGTCCCCGGCAGCGTGTGCTAGCACGCCGCTGGAGGAGGGCCCAGACGCCGCGCCGCCGCCGACAGACGGGCTGGACGCTGCGCCGCCAGCGGACGGGCCGGATGGCCTGGCAGACGCCGCGCCAGTCACGCCGCCCCGCAAGCGCGCCCGGTTCACCTTCCAGCGCTGCTTCAACGAGACGATAGATCCGCTGCGCGTGCCCGGCCACGGGCGGGTGCTGGCGCCCGACTCGGACGAGGAATGAGCGCGGGCCGGCCGGGCAGACACGGCCGGCGTCCGGCGGTGGGCGGCACGCGGGCTCGCTGATGCGTGGCCGGTGTCCGTCGGTGGGCGGCACGCGGGCTCGCTGATGCGTGGCCGGTGTCCGTCGGTGGGCGACACGTGGGCTCGTTGATGCGTGGCCGGCGTCCGGCGGTGGGCGGCAAGTGGGCTCGCTGATGCGTGGCCGGCGGTGGGCGGCACGTGGGTTCGCTGATGCGTGACCGGTGTCCGGCGGTGGGCGGCACGTGGGCTCGTTGATGCGTGGCCGGCGTCCGGCGGTGAGCGGCACGTGGGCTCGCTGATGCTTGGCTGGCCTCCGTCGGTGGGCGGCAAGTGGGCTCGCTGATGCGTGGCCGGCGGTGGGCGGCACGTGGGTTCGCTGATGCGTGGCCGGTGTCCGGCGGTGGGCGGCACGTGGGGGAGTGGACGTCGTGCACTTGGCCGCTGCCTGTATGCTGGACGGCAGGCCGTGCAGTGGAATTCGCGTGAACCATGCAATGCTGTGATATTGTCATCAGTACAAAAATTAGGAGTATGATGGGCGACGATTGGAGTTCACACAGTCCCGTGCATCTCATAGGCAGCGAATGTGCAAGAAGTTGCCATATTTATTGAAGCGGTGCTTCCGTGCGACAATTGTTGATTTTCGTGTTACCGCCTTCACTGTTCATCAATTGTTCATGACGACTACAACGTACTGACCAGTGGATAGGTCTATTTTCTTACGTGATGTGCTACTCTGCACAGTAATAAACGACGTAATAATAATAATATTGATAACGGTAACTCATTGCACGAACGCACGCCATCACGCGACACAAAAGACCGAATGCCCCGATTGCGCCAACACCACGAAGCCGGCAGTGCCCTCCCACTGCGGGCACGCGCCGATCACTGCTCACACGGCGGGCGGCCGGCTCTCCCGCCCGGAGATCCGCCGCCGCTCGGAGAGAGAGCCTGGGGCGCGGGACCCGGTCACCGCGGGGCCCGCTGCTGCCGGCGCCACGCGTCCAGCTCGGCCTTCAGTGCGGCGGCCGGTTCCACCATCTCCATGGTGAGCGGTTTGCGGTTGAACGGGTCCGACTGGTCACTCAGCAGGTGCCTGAGAGATGGACACAGCCGTATCATCGGGGTTGAACGGGTCCGACTGGTCACTCAGCACGTGCAAGATATATGCCCACAGCCCTATTACCGGAGTTCAGGTCTTGTGCCGGGTTCGGGCTTTGGGGCCATCAGAGTAACTGACCGCTTGGGTTAGAGCTCTGTCGTCAGTTGCGTTTAGGTGTCCGCCGCTGTGAAAACGGCATGGTAGACGAACAAGCTGACGGCCTTTGATGCTCATACTTTACAAAATAGCTCTAGCTGTAGCGCAAAAGCCTCTCACGTGTCTAAATCGTAAATACTAGCACAAGTAGCAAGCGCTGAAAGGTCGCCTGCTAACATGTGTCGCATGGCAGTGCCAGCATGATGACTGGGGGCACATAGGGAGCAGTCGGATAAGCATCTACGGGAGAGCAAATGTTTAAGTCAAAGCTGTCGCTGGCCGGTCCAAACATGGCGCCCACGCGATACTTGGGACTACCTAGCAAACAAAAGAATTGCATGGCGCGGCGTGCATTTGCCACCGGGCGTACAAGGCGACGCACAGGGCGACAGCGAGCACACTGCGGACAGGTGGGGCGGTGGGGCGGCCGACCGGCGTCCGGCGCCCCCGGAGCCCCCGGGGTGGTGACAGCTGTGGGTGGGGCGGTGGAGCGGCCGACCGGCGTCCGGCGCCCCCGGAGTCCCCAGGGTGGTGACAGCTGTGGGTGGGGCGGTGGAGCGGCCGACCGGCGTCCGGCGCCCCCGAAGTCCCCGGGGTGGTGACAGCTGTGGGTGGGGCGGTGGAGCGGCCGACCGGCGTCCGGCGCCCCCGGAGTCCCCGGGGTGGTGACAGCTGTGGGTGGGGCGGTGGAGCGGCCGACCGGCGTCCAGCGCCCCCGGAGTCCCCAGGGTGGTGACAGCTGTGGGTGGGGCGGTGGAGCGGCCGACCGGCGTCCGGCGCTCCCGGAGTCCCCAGGGTGGTGACAGCTGTGGGTGGGGCGGTGGAGCGGCCGACCGGCGTCCGGCGCCCCCGGAGTCCCCGGGGTGGTGACAGCTGTGGGTGGGGCGGTGGAGTGGACAACCGGCGTCCGGCACCCCCGGAGTCCCCGGGGTGGTGACAGCTGTGGGTGGGGCGGTGGAGCGGACAACCGGCGTCCGGCGCTCCCGGAGTCCCCAGGGTGGTGACAGCTGTGTGCGGCGGGCGGCACCGCCTCGTGCCTCACCTGGCGATGGTGGAGCGGTCGCAGACAATGCCCGAGGTGGGCAGCAGCACCGGGTCCGTCATCAGGGTCGACATGATCGGGTCGAGGAAGTGGTCGGGCGCCTGGGCGGCCAGGTCGTCCTCAGCCTGGAGGGCGGCGCCCGAGCCGGCCACGTGCGCCGCTACCGCTTCGACAGCCGGGATCAGCTGACCCTGGCCGATACGGGCTGGCGGCGGCCGGCGGGGGGTCAGAACCCGACTCAGCGGCCAGACACGGCAACCACGTCAGGGCTCATGTCGACGGCGTCACAGGCGCTGCCACGTCAGGAGAACTACGGTGTCACAGGTGCCATCAGGACAAGTGCCGGGACAGGTCAAGTGTGGCAAACGTCATGTCCGGACGTACCCGCCGCCATCACGTCCGTGTCGCCACCAACAGCGCCTGGTCCGTCCCTCTACACGTACGGAACGGTCGGTCACGCGTCGCGCACGTCATAACAAACAGCGGCACACGAGCGCTCCCGTCACGTCCCATCGGACCGCAGCTGTCCAGAGTCGCGTCGGGTGTCGGAAGCTGCGCGGTGCAGGCCGGCCCCGCCGCGCCGCCGGCCACTCACCGAGCACTTGAATCGCGTCGGTGAAGAGCCGCGGCGAGTAGGAGCGCTCGTCGGCGGCCACGGCGGCGCAGAAGCGCTCGCAGTCGAGCTGCGTGTAGATGCGGCAGATGTCGGTCACCACCTCGCCCGGCCGGAAGTCGTAGTCGTCCGAGTCGCGCACCTGACCGGCACGGGCGCGCGTCAGGCGGGTCCGACCGCGCGAGCCGGCGGCGCGCGGCCCGAGGCGCGCGAGGAGGACAGCCAACCGCGTACGCCAGCAGTAGGCCGTCATACGCCGACCACCAGCCGGTTCTGGCATTCAGGACGGCACCGGCGGCTGTTGCGCGCAAACTAGTCGCAGCTGAGATCAGAATCCGATCCATGCAAGGCGCAGACGAGCAAATGCGACGGAGACGGGCGGAGCTAACGCTAATGTTAGCGGCAGAGTCGCAGCTTGGCCAGACGCCAGCAGCGGGTAACGCATCCTCCGAGCTCGAGTTGTCACACCCCGCACAGCGCCACCACGCGTCCGCCGGCGGCGCGCTGCCAACCTTGAGCTCGCGTCGCTTGGGTCCGACCAGCTGAAGCAGGAAGTAGTTGAGCATGGCCACGACGCGGTCGATGATGGACGGCTGCAGGAAGATGGAACGAATGCCAGAGGTGAGCATCTGCAGCGCGCTGATGGTCTCCCGACCCATGATGTTGTGGAAGCGCGCCAACATGCCCATGTGCCGGAAGTTGGCCTCCTGCTGGTGCCGCTGCGGCGCCGGCAGCTGCTGGTACTCCTCCGTCTGGCGGTGCTGCACCTGGCGACAGCAGAATCCCGCTAGCGTGGCCGCAAGACACGGCGGCGAGCGGTCTGCGAGCGAGACAGCACCGGACGCCGGCCGAACGTCGCGTACGGCACGCGGCCCCAAGTCGGGCCGGCTACGAGGACCACGGCCTTTGCAGTTGACACGATTGGGACCCAAGCACCGAAATCGACACCCAAGCAGTTGACACGATACATGTTACACGAGTCGGATTTTCAATATTTAATGACGTCCAAGAAGGTAAGATGGCAGTGAGAACCTCTGAGAACCTCTAAGAACCTCTGACCTAGTCGGTGACTGCCAGTCCATCTGACGGCCCCGACGTGGCCAACTGACCTGGTCCCTCAGCTGGATCATGTAGCTGAGGGCCTCGTCCAGCAGGAAGACGGCGTCGTTCATCAGCAGGTTGATGAAGCGCAGAAAGATGGGCGGCGTAGCCGACTCCATGTCGCGCTCAGCCTGCTCCGACAGCGAGCTGGAAGGACAGCAGCCCGGCCGTCAGAACACGCGCCGCAGCGTCACTGGTGGCACTCAGCAGCGAGAAACGTCGCATCGCCGCTCATCACTGAAAAGGAAATGAGGACGAACAGCGCCGCAGCCCGCCCATCAGTAACGGAAACCTGCCTGTCAGACTGGCGCATCATCCATCAGGCTAGGCGAAGATGAGTGGCATGATCAAAACTCCGAACATAAAAGACATTCAACAAGACGACGTATTAAGCCCCGCAGCTCAAATGCATACAACGTACATACTTGATTTCAGCTCAGTATTACGCTATCTGGCCATGAATGACGAACAGCATGCTTAGGACGCCAACTGCGCGCACACAAGAGTGGCCGCGGCTGGTCGGAGATACTCACGAGAACATCTGGCGGTGCCGGTCGACGCTCCACAGGTACTTCATGATGACGTACATGGGCCGGCGGTAGTTGAACTTCTCCTCAAACTGCACGCTCTGGCCGGTCATCTCGATGCTGACGAACACGTGCAGCAGCGCCGGCACCACCTGGTCGGCCAGCTCGTGCGCGAGGAACAACTGCTGACGCTGGTAGCCGGAGCTCCTGAGAGCAGGCGGCGACGGCGTGACCGGCGCACGCACACCAGCTTCGACCCTCAGATGGCTCCGATCGATCCAGATCTCACCCGCCCAAACATCAACACTGACCCTACCCTCCCCATCACCACGCACAGCAACTCAATCGCCAATTCAGAACGCCTGTCGTCGCCTGTCGAAATACTCGCACCGGCGAGTATCGAGCGGAGCTCCACCGGCGACAGACCGCTGGTTCCGCCTGGGCGCCGCAGTCGCGGAGCCGCGCGGCGGGCATCGAGACACTCACACGAGACCGTGGTCGTCGTTGAAGTCGGGCAGCAGCACCTCGAGGCAGGCGGCCAGGTGGGCGCGCAGGTGCGGGTTACGCATGCGCTCGGTGGAGCCCATGAAGACCAGGATGAAGGAGAACATGTGACCGCAGGCGTCCGGCGCCACGGTCCACTGCTCGGGGGAGAAGCGGCCGACGGCCAGCAGGTGCGACGTCAGGTTGTCCACCAGCAGCTCGGGGATGCAGGAGAGGCTGACGTGGACTGGGGACGGGAGCGGGAAGGTGAGGCCGCGTCGTCGCCGCAGCGCACCGTCTGAGGACACGGCGGCGCACACGTCAGGCCGCAGCTACCACCACCGGCGCCAAGGGCTCAACCATATGCCACGTGCAGAGGACCAATTCACCAACTAGTTGCTTTTGGTTTTTTGTTGTTGGTTTTTGGTATTTACCTTTTGCACTCGGGTAAGAATAAGTCACGAATGGTTCCTTTCAAAATTCGTACAGCACTTTAGTAGCTCATGATCGTGGCTCACCATATCTTTGAAGGCATTTCTAAGTTGACAACACTCTGGCACACGACCGATTCATATAACCAAAAAATGACTGGGGGTAGTAGTGGTCAAAATTACGCCATCCAGTAGCGGCGATGAATTAACATGGGCAAATACAGATATTGGCACACAATACATCTTAACATCGCGCCTCCCTCGCGGCAAGGACACTGAAGACTGCCTGACCAGTGCGAAATCGCTCCCGGCTCCCACAAACAGGGCTCGTATGATAACGCCGTTGGATGCTGATAAGACGAGCTGCGCCCGCCGGGTGGGCCTGGACCCAGCCAGGACAGGCGGGCGCGCGGCGGGCGGCGGGTGGCCGAGGCGCGCCGTACCGTCGGCCGGCCGAGCCGCCTGCTGCGTCAGCCAGACGGCGGTGGCCGTGAGGAAAAGCGACGCGTGCTCGGTGCGCGCCGGCTCGGTCAGCGCCGCCTTGAGCGACAGGTAGCGCTGCATGAGAGCTTCGAAGCGCGTCTTGATGCCTTCCATCGACTCGGAGTCGGCGCCGGCCGCCTGCGTCAGCGCGTCCCGGTACACGCGCTGCATCCGGCCCAGCTCGCCGTTCAGTTTCGACAACTTGTCCTGCAGCAGAGCCACGCCCAGGGGCTCGGATGCAGGCACAACACACGGGGCCAGATTATACAGGAGTGCGCCTTTCATCACACATGTCACCGCAATGGCGGAAATCACCGATGCGAGAACACAGCTGATCGGCTATGACGCATATGGATAGGTCATGCCCAAAACGTAAGAAGTACATTGTGAACACAGCTTAGTGTACCGTGCAAATATCACGGACGCTATAATCCAGCACGCAGACAGAGTCGGCCAAAGAGCAGCGACGTCCCGCGAAAGCGGCTGGGCCCCCGTGCTGCCGACCAGCGGCAACTCAGCTCACCTGCAGCACCTTAAGGCCCAGCTGCAGCGCCTTGTGGCACAGGTAGAAACACTCGGTGCGGAAGTTGAACTTGCCGGGCGTCGGCGGCGGCGGTGCGTCCTCGCCGCGCGGCACCAGGAACGTCTCCTGGTCGAGGCCGGTCAAGTGCTGCCAGCGCGCCAGCTGCTCGTCGGCCGACTCGGGCAGCGGCGCCACGCAGTAGGTGGGGTCGATCTCGAGCAGCTTGGGACTGTCGAGGTCGCGGCAGAAGGGCAGCGCCAGTCGCAGCAGCACCGAGCCCAGGTTGAGCATGAAGCCGTCGGGCGCCGTGTCGACCGCCGCCGCCCCGTCCATGTCCGTGTTCCAGATCTTGGTGCGGCCGCTATTGGCGCGCAGGCAGGCGGCGATCCAGCCGAGCAGCAGCTGGCGCGCCCGGCCGCCGCAGCGCAGCGTGTTCTCGAACACCTTGTGCACGGCGTCGGCGATGAAGCTCTCCGACGTCCAGATGTTGCTGTTTATCACGTCGACGCTCTGCTGCGTCAGCGTCACCGGCTGGTCGAAGAACTCGCAGGCGCCGCTCACCGTGTTGAGCGACGACGGCCAGAGCAAAGACCCCAGCGGCACGCGACTGTAGAAGACGCCCTTCAGTGAGGCCGGCACCTCACTCAGCGCCACCAGCGTCTCGGCCAGCGGCGGCATCGTCGACATGAACGTGGCCAGGCTGTACAGGAACCGATCCATGTTCAGCAGTGACCCTTTGGTCTCGCCCACTGAACGCTGAATGTACTTGAACACCTCCTGGAATATCTCGAAGACAGGCGCCTCCTCCTCCACCAGCTTGGTGACGACCGCTCGCAGCATGTCGTCGAACCAGCCGTCAATGGCCAGGTGGGTGCGCATGGAGTCCAGGAACCGGCGCCGGCTCTCCATGTTGAAGATCTCCGGCTGCTGCAGCACCGTGGACGAGTTCTGCACAATCAGCTCCAGCATGGTGGTGCGCTGCTCGGCCGGTAGCCGGTCGGTCTCGTCGGCCACGCGCCTGTAGCATGAGACCAGGTACGTCCAGGCGTCCTCGTCGTCCGGCCGGTCGGGCAGCATGAGCCGCTCGAATACGGCCTCCTGCAGGGTGGAGAGGTCGAGCGGGCCCCCGCCCGCCGCCAACTCCGGCAGAAGCACACAGCCAGCCGGCGGCGGCTGGCGGCCGGTTATGCCGAACAGCCGCTCCAGCAGTGCCGCCGTACTGTCCGACGCCGCGCTGCCCGACGGAGACTTGGGCAGCAAGCTGTCGGCGGCTGGGCCAGGTGACCGCTGCTTGGGGTCTGACATCCTGTTGGCACAGCATGAAATGCCAGTCACCACAACAGCTTGTCTCTCAGTACTTTGGGTCTGACATCCTGCTGGCACAGCATGAAATGCCAGTCACCAAAACAGCTTGTCTCTCAGTCACCAACATGCAGAGGGGTTGAAACAGCACACACAGGCTTGATGAACAAAGCAGAGGAATCTGGTGTTGATGCTAGATGTCATCTTTGCAAATGGGTGGACACGATTACACTGACTGTGCATAGCTGGCTAAGAGGACCCAGGTCTGGCCAACTGGCTTCTAGCACCATACATTGCTGTTGACAATTCAATTTTGACATGATTGGGTCTGCTGTAATACATTTTCCTCTATGGCTTCTATGAGGAAAAAATGTGGCTCCTAACAGCAGTTCTGGCATCAACTGAATATCCCAATCAGATTTTGCAAGTCATTCAAAACAATTTGGACAGCTGTGGTATGATAACAAGATATACAGTGGGTACACAAATTTATACAGACATAAAAAACAAACAAATGCACCTCACCAATTTTCACTGGCACAAGATTTTCATGCATCTCATGTATGAACAAATGATGCTGGATGCGATTGCCATTTCTCAGCTTGAGTTTTTCTCCAAGGGAATTCAAACATACCCACCATTCAAAATACTGTGAATGGCCATATAACATTTGGATGAAATCAGCTAGTTCTAAAAGATGCCAACTCATATTTATGGAAATATGGACCTGCAAATATGATGAATAGCTTTATTTAATATGTGGCTGCAATATCTGACCTGCATGTCTTTCATTCACTTTTCACAGGTGCATTGGAAGTTCTCCAAAGTTGAAATTGAAATAGTTTTGGTCTTTCCCCACTCAAGACCCATGGGGCAAGAATAAATTTTCTAAAACCTTGAGGGTTATATCTTGCGCTAAGTCATATAAAACAAGCCTTTGTTTCATAAACAAACACAAGAAACTTTATGAATTGTGCTGTGCATTTTAAGCTTAAACTCATAGTGTTGCCATACTGCTAAACCAACTCATTTTGAGATGCTAGCAGTACAGTATATTGGTCCCCCACTTATAAAATCATAACATTTAAGCACATTATGGGTTAAACATGACCAGCTGGTGATGAATTTCAAATTAGTCTGATTAAACTTGAATGTCAGCTGCATATGTCACTGAGTACCTAGCAAGTTTCTGACACTTTTAAGACTTCAAATTATGTCTGACAAGTGTACAAAAAAGTGGAAATTTGCCTGCCTCGATGTAGAGATCTCGGGATTCACTTGGAGCTGCGTCCGTTGCACAGCAAACGCTGTTATATCACCACATATAGCGTTTTAAATTCGCACAAGCGGAATGCTTCGATCAATATTATTCACTCCGCACTCAGGCCCTTCCTGAAAGAGTTCCGGAGCAATACCTTCCCTAGCAGCCCAGGATATGCTACTGCAGCTTCTGCGGCCCAGTCCCAAAGCCCCAACACAAAACCTGCATTTCGGCACCAAGAGCGCCAGAGTGCGCAAGTCACTGTCGGCGCTGACAGTGCTGCCATATAGAAAGTGGAATGAACAAATGGCTATTGCGATTATGAGATGAGGCAGCATTGATATCCGTATTAAAAAACGAAGCACGCGTCTCTCCAATCTCCTCTTTACTCTGCGAGGAATGACTATACTGTCTCATCTGTGTGCATGATGTTCCTCGCAAATGCAGTTAACAGCCATGTAATTGCAATTATTAGCACGAGCTGCCTTGAAGTGCCATGTAATCTACGGCATTTTCGAGACATTAGGAATTTATATCCATTTCCTCTAAAATCATATCAGCATTCACAATTATATTCGGGTTTCAAATTAACAGTCCAGAGGGCTTTCATCTAGAAATCGATGAAAATGCAGGAGGAAATGGATGTTTGATGGATGAGGCGTGCATACTATGAGCTATTTTGCTGATAAGAAACGTAATAGGTTTGCACCAAATACCTGAAATTTGAAATACACTTACATGTAGGTTTACAGTCTGCAGTCTGTATTATGGGACCAAAATGCTTCGTTGCAATGCGAACATCTTTCTTCTCAGGAAGAGTCGACATTGGTCCACACAATAGCAAAACTTATCAAAATTTTGATCGTAGCGTCACTGGCTAAAAGTAGGTGGCTTGAAACAGGTTTCTTGAACACATTTTCTTTGCATTTTTGACGCTCTTGTGACTTTTGTGAAGCATAGTGATCATAAACATATTTTTTTGTTAAGGTAGAAACGCATGAGATAACCGCTGGCCACTCGCGACAATAGCCTATGTATTCGTGGGTGTCCCCAACTTGTCACTTACGTTCGAAGCCTTCGTGGTAAGACTTGCATTCCAACGCTTCAAGTTCTGCTGTGATTTAATTTGGCACTCTCTCATCTCTCTTGTTAAGTTATTGATTGTGGCATAGACATGCTAGATGCGTACTTGCTCTTGACTGTGCATCGCGCCTGTGCCCAAATATCTGCCCACGTTTGGAACTTCATATCACTGAGGAGGTTACGCCCACTTTTGGGCAGGGCCGCTCGATAACAATTCAATCTCAATCCTAAAGGTATTGGAGAGGGTGCCCCAAAGTCAGACCGCAAAAATGTGTGCATCTCATCTCCATATATGCGTGTTAAAAATCTCATTTAGTATTTCAGTAACAATCTCAGCATGCTTACAATGGAAATTTGGCTGCCTTCCTTATCTAGACATGGGGTTTGGCTCCAACAATGCTGTGAGGCTCCACTCTTGGATGTCTTGGATGTCTTCCACTCTCGAACATTAATGTTCCCCTCTGGCAGGTAAAATTGATCATCAGTAGAACTCAGACCCAAGCTAGAAAACTGACTGCCAGTTCTTATTTGCACATGAAGCATTTGAGTCACCTGATCACTAGAATGGTCATGGTTTTAATGCACCACAGATGAATGTTCTTCTGTGTATACTGATGCTCCCACTCACATGCCAAGTTACCTTGGTTTGTTGTGGCTGAATTGTTCAGTTTTCTTTATCAGAGTGGTGATATTTTTTACATGCTATCATATTGATTTATCACACATGCTGACCTTTGATATGTCTCAAATGTCTACTTACATACTGTCTTGCCTTTCAGATCCTCAGGGCCACCTACTCTTGAAACAACAGGGCTTGAGATGGCTGCTCCAAAGAAAACTATTCTTTTGGCTTGTGGATCATTTAATCCACCAACACATATGCATCTGAGAATATTTGGTAATAATAGCTGCTGTGATATAGTCCTGCATTCTCATCTTTTCTTACTTTTACAAGTAATTATCAGGAAAATCTTGTAAAACTAAGTTCAGCATAGGCCTTGTGTGCATCTTTAAAAATGCTATCAGCTCATTAATGTTGATTACTTTTCAATTTTTGTTTTCAGTCAAAAAATTCAATTAATTCAGTTACTTAAAATTGGCATTTGCCTCCAATGAACTGTCTTTGTTAGAGGCAGGTGGTAATGACAGTGACAGACCAGGCAATGAGCATTGTGGTCTACTTGAAACCATATATGTTTTTATGTTTTGGGCTACTATAATGATATAAGATAGTTAGATTGATTATATCTCAACCATGCTGTTATGCATATACAACAATGCACTTTATTGAGCTCAGATAATTGCATTGCTCTTCTTTAGTATAGCAGCTGCAATGTGCATTCATGCATGTCTAGACTGAATTAAGATGTCTGCAACAGCCAAGTGTGTGATTGCCTGCTGTTACTTATGCTTGCCTGCTATTAATGGCTCACCTGCTGTTACTTCTGCTGGATGCTTTCACAGAAATTGCAAGAGACTACCTTCACAGAATGGGAAAACACCATGTCATTGCTGGCCTGATGTCTCCTGTACATGATGCATATGGAAAAAAGGTCAGTGACATGATTTTAACTTACATCACCTGGTAATTGCACCCCACATTGGTGTCATCCTAGATGTTTGCCATCTGTAAATGTCCAGAACTTTCAGTTAATTTCAGATTCAGAAGTACCTGTGGATGTTATGGGCATGAGTGGCAATCAATTCCCATTTAGTTGGGCTGTTTTTCTCAACAAAGACTCAGCATGCATTGCACGCTTTGTTACTGTTGTACATAATTGTTACATGGGTAAACATTGGACCAATTGATCAAATGTGATAGGTGCCAAGTTATTCATATTGCAATGCATATTTTAAGACACAAGTTATGTGGTTGTTGTTGCTGTAGGGAGCATTGGTTAGATGTCACTGATTGAGATGCCTGTTATTAACTGAGTTGTCAGCCTCCTAATTCTTCACTGTGTTGAAACAAGTGTATTGAAATACCCAAACATTGTTTTGCTGCTTATCACACATAAGTGGGCAGTGGAGGTACAATCTTGTGGAATAGTAGTGTTTCAGGCTGAAGTAGTTGATTTCATCATGGTGGCAACAAATTGAACAGACATGCTAGAAAAGCCCAGCCAGCAAACACTGGGAAATCAACACAGTGGGTCATCAGCATCCACAGACAATGGACAGCAGTGGAGAGCGAGGCATGGTTACCTGAAAGGGAATGCATTGGAATCGGATTTTGGCTAAACAGCTTTGAACAAAACCCTGTGCAAGTTCTGCCATGAAGGGCATACAGTGGATGGGCTGGCGGCTGTCACCCTTAGCTCGCTCTAGGTACTTAGGGTATGGGTACAATGGTACCTCTCGGAGCAACAACACCGTACTCACGATACCACAGCAAACCCAGCTCGAGACACTTAGGGTATGGGTACAGCGGTACCTCTCGGGGCAACAACACCGTACTCACGATATCACAGCAAACCCAGCTCCAGGTACTTAGGGTATTGGTACAGCGGTACCTCTCGGAGCAACAACACCGTGCTCACGATATCACAACAAACCCAGAAGTTATAGAACTTATTAACATATACACAGACTTATAGGTGCCTGCCCTTCTTGCCAGCATGAGAGGCAGGCGACGCCATATAGTCTCAGCAAATGAGTGCATCGCAAAGCCCCAATGTTGTTGTTCATTGGAGTTTTCGGGCGCCAATGTCAATGTCAAATGAAAAAAATGCCAATGTCAAAGCCCCAATGCCACACACAGACTTATAGCCTTGGCTTAGATAACATAATTTGTACATCACAAACCTTGGGCTGCAAACTTCGCCTGTAACACCATCCAGCGATGGTTTGCGACGGCGAAAAAGCCGTCAGGCTTAGCGCACAACAAGCCGTCATCCGTCATGCTTCGTCCAACTGATAAACATCGGTGAATATCCATTCTTAAATGGCATTTCAGTGCTAAATGGCATATGGAATTAATCGTGTTATGCTTATCTCTTTTCGACGAATTACCCACAGAAGTCTTTCACGCCTCATTTTCAGACCTCAAGCTTGTAATGAAAACCCCGCCACACAGTGTTGCAGGTAGAGCAATGCTGGCCGACAAAAATGTGCTACAATAACTGCAATCGCCCGCCACAATGCTGAATACAATGCCGCCCACTTTTCAAAAGGGTGTGCTGATTCAATGCACCAACAGGTTCGTGTATTTGTGTTCGTGACTGCACTCATCAGGTTTAGCCTTGGTTGTAAGGAACAGAGGAAAACACGAGCGATTTGTCTTAAATGCTTGGCATCCTCAACTTGGGATCTGCCAAGCAGCGCAAGTCCCTGGTCCTATGATCTTATTTCTAGATGTCGATATAATATTGAAACCAGTAGCCATCCTTATGAGGCGTAGTTTTCAGGCATCTGGTCAATGCAGATACATGTAGCTAGCATGCAGCCGACGACTTCAGTACGTTGCTGCAGCGTCATGTCCACGCAGGCCGCCCAGCGTGCAGCCGCCGCTCGCTCAGCTGCTCAGCCGCTCGATCCGGCGGTGCCCTCGGGCACGAGCCGGCCGCCCCCGACACACAGGCAGCCCGCAACGCACCGGGCGGCGGCCTTGTCTTGTCTTGTCTTGTCTTGTCTTGTATTGTCTTGGATTAGGGCGCATAGCGTCCTGGGCTCAAGCGTCCGTTTCAGTTTTCTTCATTGCGTCGCTTTTGTATTCAGATTTTCCTTATATATTTATTTTGGTATCTATGAAGACTAAGCATGGTAATGGAAAATGGAAGATTTAGTCACGGGCTGCATCCTGGTGCAAAGAATGCATTAGTACTCAGTAGTTAATAATATCTAGAGCTACAGGATTAGGAGACATTGTATCTACATGCAAGTCAACTACTCATTTATACCAACCGGCCTGGTCTCCTCGATCACCTCTTTCGTTCCACACTCAAACAATAGCACAAGATCTCGCAACTTCCGCGTCACACGACACGACACATGAATCGCAGTGGCACACACGTTTGTTCGTCAGCACGCTGGCACAGAATCTGCTCTCCATGCGTCACATTTAAACATCTATATATTGCTACCGCATCACTCAGTTCGCGTCTGTGCTTACGGTTCGCTCAGCCCGACAAGTTGGTCGCAGGTCTCATCGTTTTTTGTTTCGCTACGGGGTCTTTCCTGTTAACGCTTAAACTGTAAGGCAATATAAAGTTATAGCAAAATGGTAAAGATAGAAGCGAGCATATTGAGTACACAGTACGCCCTTTTACGATTTCGAGTAGCGTCTTTTCACTCTTCGTTCCACCAAGGGCACCTATATTTTGTTTTCCCGTTTTGCTGAGGAATGGTTTCCTTTGCCACTCTGACTATAGTCTCAGTCATAGTCGCAAGGTTGTCGATACCAGCCGTTTCATCAAATCGCATATCACGTTTGTCTGTAAATTCCGTCCATTTTGCTTTGTTCACATCCCACCCATGAAATGTGTGCGGGTTAAGTTCGTTGTTTGATCCATTTCGAATGTAATATACAATGGACAGTGATCGCTAGAGTGCAGATCATTGTCAGCACAGTCATGTCATATACTGCCATATACTACTGGATGAGAGGGTTATATCTATGTGTTACCAAAGGCCAGTATAATCATCCATTCTTGTGGGGCATCTATCGTTCAAAATATGCAATGCATGTTGTATCGCATGTTCCTACAGTTTACCTCTTTGATCGCATCGGTCTTCGCCCCACATGTAATGTCGACTGTTGGCATCTGTGCATAGGATAAACGGCCCGGGTAACTGAGAATTTAAATGATCTTAATCAGGTTATGTTTATGTTTCACTGGGTGGTAAATAGAGTGAACACGCACATAATCGCGTTCCACGAACCTTCGCTGAACAAACCACAGCTTGCAGTAGTGTATTCACATTTATTTGGAAATGTGGCAAATAGTTGGTAACATTTATACAAACCCCTCATTGCCTTCCATTTATGTTTCTATACCCATTGTATAGCGCATTATTAGCCATCCGATAATCATATCTGTCAGCAGGAAGAAAATGGGTTTCTTGAGGGCAGATAATGCCAAAATCTTTCTTGAGGAGCACTGGTTTAACCTCTGGCCATTTCGAAAGAACTCTTCTGCAATTCCACTGTAAAATGCTTAGGGCCATGCTATTTAACACAAACACATCACAACTCTTCCTGTCCCAAATCCAAACCAAGCCCCCCAAAAACAAAGAAACAACAACAGCAACAACACAGCAACAACAATGCCCATCATCTCATTGTGACCATCAACATCGCAAATATCAGCATCATCTCAAGGCAACAAGGTATCAAAAGTCATTACAAATATCAATGGAAAATTACGTCCCCTCCTCCCATGACCTTCTGGTAGTAGATATTGCACGAATTTTCTCCAAGGATCTGCCCCTTCCCCCCTTCCAATGCTTTGGGAAGGTAAATATTCATCATTTGTGCCATTTATATCCATCTCATATCTCTTACCTTCCTTGCTCCTGGTCTTGTTCTTACCTTTGACCTTCTTCCATATATCCTCCTGGTCTGTCTCTTGATCTTCTTTCTTCTTTGTCACTTGCTCACTTTCACCACATGTTGTCACCTCATTTATGTGCACCACCTCCTCACTCATGGACTCATCATGTGTCTCCCTGTCTGCCTCAGTTTGCTGACTGGTCATCATGTGAAATGGTTGTTCCCTTGTCTGATTGAAATTGTTTTGCCATCTTTGCAAGTATAGCTGTCATCTCATCTATGTTTTTCTCCAATGTTTTGACTTCTTCTTTCAACTCCTCTCCTTTTTGTTTTCAGTTGGGGCACATGTCACAGTGGAGTGTGCCATTCGAGCAGGGGGTTGGTGACTAGCATTATATCGTATCCTAGCCTCAGCATAGGGGATTTCATGCTGAACTTTTAGGGTACAGATGTCTTTTTCTTTGATCTACACAGGGCACTCATGTGACAGACAAGTGTGCCCTGCCGCACCACAACTCATGCACTTTGCCTCACATTTGCCCTCATGCACACTGCTCACCACACTTTAGACATGTTTGGTCATTTGTGCACCTTCCTTCAGGGTGTCCATATTTACCACATCTGTAGCAAATTAATGGGTTGGGCACATGCTTTTTGACGTGATAAGTTATGTAGTCCAGTTCAAGTTTTGGGGGGCAAGTTGGTACACCAAATGTGAGAGGCATGGTAGGGGTATTCTCAACCCTTTCTTCGTAAACCTCTTTGCTCCCACCACACCAAGCTCCTTAAACCAGCGAACGATCTCATCCTCAGTGAGGTCCACTAGGTCATAGCTATGTATAGTGCCTTTGCTTATGTTTAGTTTGAGGTCACGGCAGACCTCACACTCTTCTCCCACCAGTGATGATGTTAGTTTTAGTTTGGTTGTTTTTTTTTAATCAAGAGGCTTCCACCGCGGAGGAGGCTTGCCTTCTCTACTTTGGTCCGTGTACCAATAATATTCCTAAGTCCCTGCCCGAATCCATGGCCATCCCTTCGATCTCATATGTTTTCCACATGTCAAGGTTATTCTCAGGTACGAACCGGCATTGCAGTCCACGACGTCATCCCAGAAGTTGTTCACCACATTTTCAGCTCGGGATCGCTTCCTAGGTCGACTAATCACTACCATATCTCAATTTAGTCGGTCAGCGCTAATTCCCACCCCTAACCCAGATCTAGATTTGAAAAATTTTATTAGTCTGTCAATGAGCAATGGAATAAAGTAGACACCTGAAAAACACAATCACAAACGCAGTCGAAAGAATCCCCTGACTGATAATCTCACCGACAGCCTCCAGCGGACGTCCTCCCTGAATCGCTGTAGATCCCACGATGCGGGCGGCGGCCGGCCGCCCACGCTGCGCCATCGCCGCTCCCATGAGACACACGCAGCGCTCCCAGCACGGCGATAGCCTCAGGGCCCAGCACCCCTCCGGCCGGTCCAAGACTGGCCGATGCGCCTCGATCCGTCTCGGGTCGGCCGGAGCAGCTCGATAGGCAGGAGACGACAACCCAGACGTGCCACGCGTCAAATGGCGGCCGCTGCCGCCGACCACCGGCGGGTCAGAAGAGTATTCGTGAGACCAGCGTCGCAACAGTGGGTTCGTCGTACGAGCATCATTTCTGAATCAAAGAACTGCGTATGCACAACACATACGTTTGCATCAACGGTTGTCAAGGATATTTTGAAATCCTTTAGATCGAATTGCGGTCGAGCAGTGAGCAACAGCATGGACGAGATCATCCCACCCACGAATTGCTCGGTATTGAGAATGTCTGGGTTGGAAAGAGTCTACGGGAAGCAGACATGGCCCCGCCGGCTTCAGCTTCGGCTTCACGAAATCGCAGTTTTCCTCCAGTGGCTTTGGTTTCAGCTTCGAGCTATGCTCCACTCCTAGGCTCAGCTTTGGATCCGGCTTGATGTCATTCTAAAAGGTTTACTCCGTCTCTGGCTTTGTCTTTGTCAATTATAAGAGTTTGCTTCGAGATCGGCTTCGAGCACTTTCTGGAATATGGCGTCGACTTCGGATTCAGCTGTTGTGTATGAGTACTGCCCCACACTGCTTTACAGTTGAGTCTGTGAGGAATGGCGCGACTTGATGGTGATTTGAAGAGTTCGGACGCGAAACTTCTTCGGAGGTGATAAAAGAACAGGAGGCTGGCGTGATGTGTGTTCATCGCTCTTCATTTTTGTCTATTTCACGTTCGTCACAAAGATGGCAATGCTTCCGTTGCTTTGAATGTGTCGGAGTTACGAACCTTTATTGGAGTTCCAAGAACGTGCTGCAAGGAAATGAGAACTCCAGTGATGTTTTCGCGGTGCCGGAAGAACATCTCGTCTTACCAGACTGCGTAGATACCTTGTGTCATATAAGTTAGGGTTAGGATGAGGTTGCGTATCCCGGAGGATCGGGCCGTGTTCTGTCGGCATGCGAAAGTTTGCATCCTCGCTGCACAAGTAATTGAGTTAAGAACTAGTTTGGTGGATCTAATCCGTTTAGCCCAGATGTTGTGTTTGTGCGATCAGATATGATGGTGTCGGCTGGCCCCTGGGCGGACGACCGACCTCGCTAATCGGGCTCAGCTCATTCCTGTATGGCGACCTCCACGTTGCCGGTTCCTTCTCGCCCTTTGCTAGCGCGGGACCATCCACCACAACGGAAGCACTCGATCCGGTACGACTGAGCGGGTGCTCGCGTGTGACTCGTCGCGCCCCGGCCGTCGCTGGTCGCCGAGCGTCCGAGCCTCGCTGCTCGAGCCGGCCGGCCTGTCACGTCGCGCCATCCGCCGACAGGATCTGGCGCCCGCCTCCGACCGCTGCGAGATGGTGCGCCGGGCCCTGCAGACCTCCGACTGGGTCCACCTTTCCGACTGGGAGTGCGGCCGCACCGCCTGGACGCCCACCAGACAGGTGCTGCAGCACCACCAGGTCAGCTCCCGCCCGCCGTCCGCGGCGGCCTGGTGTAATTACACACACTTGCCGTGAAGTTTGCCGCCGGCGATAATAAGTTGCGGGGTGCTGCGGGTGGGTCGGGACGCGTTATGAGCGACGTGCCACGGGCCGGACAGGAGCTGGTCGACTCCATGGTGAACGGCAACCTGGACAGCGCGGCCAAGCGACAGCGTACGGAGGAGCTCGGCTGGACACGCGACCTGGGCACGGAGCAGTTGCACCTCAAGCTACTCTGCGGTGGAGACCTGCTCGAGTCATTCGGAAAGCCCGGACTCTGGAAGGAGGAGGACGTAAGTCTGCCGCGGTGTGATCCGTCCGCTTCTTCGGCTACTCGTCTTCTTTCTGCGATCCCGGCTCTCCCTTCGTACCGTGATCCCGGCTCTTCCTTCTTACTGTGATCCCGACTCTCACTTCGTACTGTGATCCCGACTCTCCCTTCGTACTGTGATCCTGGCTCTCTCTCTTCTTACCCTGATCCCGACTCTTCCTTCTTACTGTGACCCGTGCTCTCCCTTCTGTCTGTGATCCCGGCTCTGCCATTGCGCTGTGGTCTCTGGTCTTCCTTCTTGCTGCGATCCCGGCTCTCCCTTGTTGTTTCTAATCTAGGCCTTCCTTCTTACTGTGGCCCCGGCTCTTCCTCCTTACTGTGATCCCGGCTCTTTCTTCTTACTGTGATCCCGGCTCTTCCTTTGTACCGAGATCCTGGCACTTCCCGTGATGGTTACGTGATATGCTTTGCTGTCTGGTAGTAGAGTTCGGGGCCTCTTGGAGCTCTGTCTGGGTATCTTTCAGACCGTTACCAATATTTATCCACGTTTTCATGTTCCCTGCGGCATATTAGTCGTCCCCGGAATCGTTTCACTCCCCTGAGTAACATAGGGAATTGGGATACTGGCTTCGTTCATCCCTGATCCGTCCGTATTCAGCATCGGTATGCATTGTTCAGTGGCTGTGTGCGACATTGATGCCGTTTGTACACGCCGCCTGCGATTGCGACAGATCGAAGCCATCGTGGGCTCCTTTGGTCTGGTCGTGATCACGAGGGAAGGCAGCAACCCTCTGAAGTTCATCTACGAGTCAGACGTGCTCACCAGACTACAGGTGGGTGGAATCTGGAATGGTCGGGATGCCGATTTGACACGCCTCTGCCTCTGCCTCTGATATACCGCTTCCTCGCGCTACTGGGTGGACGCTTTGACCTTTGGTACGTCTTGTGGTAGCTCAGGTAGGTCTCTGGGTAGGAACAAAGTAGCTTTGGAGCAGCACTGCCCATCTCCGTGCAAGTCTGCGATAATTGAACTGTCTGGCTGAGCATTAATCCCGCTTCAACGAGGTTGAAATATGTGTGTGACAAGCTTCTGGTACTTTTGGAAACTCTTAGTGGCAGTGCAATCTTGTAGCAAACTTTTTCTGTATTGGCGGTTGAATCCTGGAATCTGTCCGTAAGCCACCAGCTGTAAGGGTGTTTTTGCATGTTGAAAGGGCCTCGCTTGTCAGCATATTACATGGATATGCTATGGAGTGAGTTAGGGCCGTATCAGGCCACGCGCTTCGAGATGGAGGCGAAAATTTTGTGTCGCAGTGTGCCCCTGCATGCAATTTTAAATGAGTGACGCACCTGGGTAGCTTTTGGGTGATTCCCAAACCCAGTTATGTATACCTTGCGCCCAACTCCTCAAAGTTGTCACTATCTACTGCAGGCACTCGGACGAAACACAAACACCGCACCACACTTGCCCTTGGAGAAGGCATTTCCAACCGGGGGGGGGGGGGGGGGGGGAGGATATCTCCAAGGAGTACGAGGGTCTCAGGAGTGGAGTAAAATTACGTTACAGCAGAATCATGTCTGAAGTAAGACAGATAACTGCCCAGACAGACCCAACAGGCAGGCGTGGCTGAAAGGTGATGCTGCTAGAGGTAGTGGCCTGTGCCACATGCCCTGAGCTGAAATTATCTGTTATAGTAGCCCCAAAACAGGGACAGCGTTTTCGCTGATACGGAGTGTTCAGACACGAACGGGATAGGAGTGCGAGATACTGACAGTTTAGTTTTGTGGTTTGATGCATGTTGTCCAAACACATTTACTGTGCAGAACACTTCTCTGGACCTAGCAGCTACTTACATGCTGTCGATGGTAAGAGGTAAGACTACGCATGGCTTGTGTGATCTGGGTTGTTGGTTTGTCCGAGGGGGTCATAAATTGGTTCATCCTCGGAGGTAGATTGACCTAAAAAGGGTGGGAAATACTGGCTTACAGTATGTGCTCACTGCTCTATGTTGCTCCCTTTAAAAGTCCCGCTGGTTTTTACCGTAATGCTACTCAGAGAATTTCGCTTATACTGTGTCGCTTCGTTTAGGAGCTCCGTCCATCGTACTGCGTTGTCCAACCTGAGATCTCCGCTGTCAAAAGTGAACTGTTCCCTCTAGTGCTCCGTTGACCATGGTGAGCCGTCCCCTCTGAGTGCCCGTTGACCATGGTGAGCCGTCCCCTCTGAGTGCCCGTTGACCGTGGTCAGCCGTCCCCTCTGAGCGCTCCGTTGACCGTGCCTTGCTGTCCTCGCTGACACCGCTCTTGACCTCACCGTGCTGACCCGGCTGGGAGGGCTGCTGACGCGCGGCCCCTCCTCAGAGGAACATTGATCTGGTGACCGAGTGGATCGCTAACGAGGTGAGCTCGTCCCGCATTCGCCGGGCGCTGAGCCGCGGCGAGAGCGTCAAGTACCTGCTGCCAGAGCCGGTGATCGGCTTCATTCAGCAGCGCGGACTATTCGGCGTCACCAGGTGTGTGTGTGTGTGTGCACGGCCGGGCGCGCGGGTGTGCAGTGCCGGTGGCGCTCGCTGAGCTCGAATCTAGACCGCAGGCGGAGGTTTTGTGGGTACTGGCATGGAGGAAGTACAACTGCCTGGAGGTGGGTATGCCCTTGGACTGGCGTGGTGTGTTTTGTTGGGGTGTGGGCACACCGATGTCGTGCGGTTGGAACAGGATGTCTGGTGGCACGTTCGACGTTGTTGTGGTGGCCAAGGGCCTACCTCAGGGCAGTGGAGGGTTTCGCTTGTCGGATGTTTATAAGGTATCAACAAACTGGTATCGACGGTGCAGGGATTATGGGCTCCGTCGACTGGCTTCTCGTTGTTCGTCGCGTAGACGTGCAGGACTCGCCAACCATACTAAATCCCCTCGCTCTCCCCTTGCTGCCGGGACGCCAGTGAGTATGCGAAGCGGCTGTCGCTGCTGGTGCAGCCGATGCAGCTGCCGCCCTCCTTCCTCACGCCGTCCCCCAGCGACGTGGACATGACGTACTGCGAGGGCGCGCCGTCGCCGCGTCCGCTGACCGCGCCCCCTGTCGCGCCAGAATCGAGCCGCCCGCCGGCCAGCTCAACGGCGACGCGGCCGGAAAGCGGCCGTGCGAGGCCGGCCAGCTGGCGGCGGAGCGGCGAAAGGAGGCCCGGCTCTAGCCGGCGCGTGCGGCCGGAGGCGGCAGGCAAGGTGAGCGGCGCCGGCCGGCCGCCCGTGCGGCTGGTGGTGACCGAGGATGGCGTTGGCCCGCCCCCCTCGCCCGGGCCGGCCGACGGTGACGGCGACGCCGACGCCGACGCCGACGCCGACGCCGACGCCGGCGCCGGCGAGAGGCGCCTCACCGAGCGAGACCGCGTCAGGATCGAGGTGCTGCTGGACGGCGTGGTGGTCATCAGCGACAGGGAGACGTGCCTGTGACGGTCGCCCCGCCCTGCCACCGGCCGGTCCCGATGCTGGTCCCGGGCGCTGGCTGCTAATCAACGCGCCGCGTGCGCTGTGCATCGGCGGCCAAACGGCCTTAGACGGCCTTGCCTTTTCCTAGACTGCGTACAAAGTTGGTACTTCCGATCTCTGGGTGCGGTGATATTCCTCAGCGATGTTTGGCCTCTGGCTTGTATGCGGAGGATGCATGCTTGTTGAGATAGTGCCTATGTCATTGCGTGGTGTCGTTGACTGCACTCGTGGCTGTCTAGAGCTGTCAGATGGCAATAGACGCTTCTTCGTTATTATTAGGCAATCAAAATGCTCTGTGGCGTTGTGTTGGGTCATTTGGCCAGTATTGTGCTGTAGGAGTTAATGACAAGTGGATGTAAGTTGAAAACAATCTGCAGCATTTTATAGAATATCTACTCACTACGGCCATGTAGAAGTTGCCAGACGCTCGTAGAAGTATGGGCATTCTTCTTAGCTTCCACTGCGTGCAATATCTCGAGAAACGACATTTCTAGTCTGTGTTTCTGGTGTGAAGTGCTTTCCAACTTCGCAGCGGTTGACAGTGCTTTCCAGCTTTTTCAACAACTTACAATGTTTTCCACCATTGAGGCGTGGTGTATGCACCTTCCAATGTTCCTAGTCAATCTCGTTAAATATTGGCGCCACGAACCAGCCCTGACCAGTCTCATGACCCAGTTGTGTCAAATCCGTGTGTGATGATGTAGGTTTACTGCTTTAGTGTGTGTGTGTGTGTGTGTGTGTGTGTGTGTGTGTGTTGTGTGTGTGTGTGTGTGCGTGCGTGCGTGCGTGCGTGCGTGCGTGCGTGCGTGCGTGCGTGCGTGCGTGCGTGCGTGCGTGCGTGCGTGCGTGCGTGCGTGCGTGCGTGCGTGCGTGTGTGTGTGTGGATTACCTGCAGATGTTTAACAGGTTGGTATTGAAAGAAGCCTTCCACAACTGCATGATGCTGAATGGGGCCGGAGATTGCGTCACGTGTTTCGATAGGTGCGGTCGGCAAGGTGGCGTGATACAGACTCCCGAAACAGTGGGCTGGATTATCCAGACAGTGGGCGGTAGGTTGGGTTGCCCGGGCAGTGGGCAGTGGGTTGGGTTGTCCAGGTAGTGGGCAATGGGTTGGGTTGTCCGGGTACTGGGCAGTGGGTTGGGTTGTTCGGGCAGTGGTCAGTGGGTTGTGTTGTCCGGGTACTGGGCAGTGGGTTGGGTTGTTCGGGCAGTGGTCAGTGGGTTGGGTTGTCTGAGTAGTGGGCAGTGGGTTGGGTTGTCCGGGCAGTGGGCAGTGGGTTGGGTTGTCCGGGCGGGAGGCGGTGCCTGAACCGCGCACCTGGCCGTGCGAACGTCCAAATTCATGGAAGGTCCATTATGGCTGAAGCAGGGATTGCCTGAGGCTTCCCTCGTGGGCCATTAGCAGGTATTTTCGATATAATTTATGGCATAAAGTGAGCCTAGGATTTCGAGCCCATCGTTCTCATTTTTGTGAAGTATGTTTTAGTTTGGGGTCGGTGGTGCATCTCAGCATTATATCGATATTGCAAAGATTAAGGCTTGTTAACGGTGACCTTTTGCGATGGTCGCAGTGTTGCCATGCTACTTAGCTCTATCCATCGCTCTGAAATGATTAATACCGGCTGAAAGGTCCCTAATCCACAACCGAAGTTTGTACACTCAGTTTTCCTTTCGTCATAGATCAAAACCTGTAATGGGTTTTGGTCTTCTGAAAAAATATCCGTGGGGAAAGGAAAGTTCCGGTGCGCTCTCTGGGCTATATCTTGTCTTCCTGTTTGTGGATTATGTTTTTGAACGATAAATACCTATGCAAACGCTCGCCGTCGCGTGAGCTCTACGAGAGGTGAGCGCGCGGTAATGATCCTCTGCCATGGCAGTGTTTTAGTGTGAGGCGTAACTGCCGAGCTCGTATGGCAAAAGTCACATTATTTCACCTGTTCAGGGTTTATTGGGTTTCACTTTTTATCATAGTTTTTTATCGTTTAAAGTGAAAAATTAAAAGGTATTCTCCCTCCTTCCCCCCCCCCCCCCCCATTTGATATCAGCACATAATGGGCTTAACACATACGTCAACCGCCTAACCTTTTCATCGCAACTTTCCATCAAACAGATGGGACTCCGCCCGACGCGCCAGCCTTACGTGTGGTTGTATGTTGCTCGCCAAAGTTAACCGAGAGTTTGCCATCGTTTCGAGTGTTACAGTGGTGGCCACGCGTCCGAGGGCGTCTGTAAGAGCATGTTCGGACCTGCTGGGGACAGTATTCTACATTTGCCAAATTGAGAACTCGTCGAATGACTAACCCTGTGCCAGTATTTGCATGCCCTTGAGAGTGGACGAATGCTGCAAAATACTAACTTAATGCAATTATGTCTTACATGGGCCACTTGAGCTACTTTGGCCCGCGAAAATACGCGTGTGATACCTGCGCAGGTATCTTTGTTAGTCTCATACAGAGGCTGGGTTGCGCACAGAGTTGCAGGGTAGTGTATGGTAAAATAATTGGCAACGCGGGAATTACCGCTGCGATTGGAGTGTATATTTGAATCCCGATTGTTTAGCTGCGCTGGGGGTCGGCGCCGTTGCTGCTAGTAACGCTGTATCCTGGTGCATGATGTCGACTCGGGCTCTTTCAAGCAGCGCACAAGCTGCTTAGCTCTCGTATGGATCATTTGACCAATCACACACGCACAGGCCTTCTAGACAGACCAGAGATCACGCCAATGTCATCACTCATGAATCGCTCGGGTCTACTGCCCGTGTAAAGCGTTTCCGCGCATTCAGTATGTGTAATAGTCTGTGTTTCCCACATAAATCCAAGATCTGCTGATGGGGCTCTGAACGCGTCGCTGTCCGAGGTATCGTGAAACGTTTTCAATGACTTGGTTGTAAGTAACCCTACGTATGTTAAAGGTGTCCGCCAAAGGCAAAATTGTGCTCCTTCCTCGTACGCACCGCGACCGATGTTAGTGTCGGACGGTTGCGAATTAATGTTGCATATCGCCATAAAGGTTCAAACGCGCAGCATGTGTAGACTCTTCGCAATCCTTCGATCCTTGCGCAGCGTGTTCGGATACAGAATAAGAACACTGACACGCACGTACGTCGTTAGCGAGCTGTTTATCTGGTCCGGGCAGCGAAAGCCGGCCCGGTCATCGCGCGGGACTCCGTCGGATAGACCCCTACTGGACGTGGCGTGGCGACTTATCGTTGACTTAGGGACGCTTGTAGCTGCCAAGAGCGTTGGGCTGACAACATCTCACGGTGGATGACCTCTGCTTACCCGGCTGTGTCAACTCGTCCGGATGATGGTGTGGTAACGCTGTAAATGCTGTTCAATGTCAGGTGCCGGGTTAAGAGAGGCCCGGGTGGACGGCTTAGTGTACGGTACGAAGGCATATTCCTGCATGCCACTGTCGATTGAGTGCTGCCGGAAGCCTCTCCTCTTTTGGTTTAGTTTGGCGGAAATCGGCTAGTAAGGTTTTTGTATTCGTGCTGTTCTTTATTCTTCCCACAGACTTGTTGAGCTTGGCAGTCAACAGAAGCTATTTCATTATGCCATTTCTTAGTCAACTAGGATGCGGTTTTAGAGTGGATCAGCATGAATAATTGGGCGCTTTTGGCGATGTGGGAAATGCACAAGACAAACGTTGCTCTTCTCTGATTGAGGCTGTGTGGTGACGTGTCAACCATACTGAGCTGAGCATGGAAATGGCTGGCTGGTGTTATCGTCTAGCCTCCTCCTGGGATGTTCTCTGTCGAGGTACCAATCAATCAACGCCCCATGGCGGATTCGCACACAAATCGCGGAGCGCATTTGGTGGATTTTGCTTGTCAGGCGTTTTGGGATCGATGTGCTGCGTACCATGTGACGCGCGGTTCACTGTTGTCACAGAGATGATGCCGTGCGGGTACCATTTATGTTGACAGCACGCATTGAGATACTTGTCATATGTTAGTCATTAATCGCTTTACTCCGGGATGTGAATTGCATTGTGTTAGAATTAGTGGCTAGCGTATGTAAACGATTGTGAGCTTTTATGTAGATTGCAAGGCGTACGCGAAGCCGTGCATCCTTTTCTGTAATGTGATTGAGAGTGCCAAATAAAAGGTCAGTTTTTAAGCCCGGCTGTATGCTCCGGTGAGGAAGAAAGAGTGCTGTGCTTATGGTCGGAAGAGTGTCGCTGCGGGCTGCTGTGTCTCTACCGGGCCTGCCGTCTGCCGTGGCCGCCAGCCCCCCCCCCCCCTCCCTCCCCCTTCCCCCGGCTCTGCACGCGCTGACCCTGTGCCGGTTTGCAGGCGGCGCTGGCATGGACCGAAGCGGCGCCAGGCGCGGCCGGCACCTCCTGCGCTGGCTGCCTGACCTGCATGCATCCCAGCTGCCTGCCACGGCCCGCCACCCGGCGCGACTTTGTCTAGACGGCCCGTGTGTAGCGGCATGTCGGCCGGAGCAGCGCGGGCGGTAGTAGATCAGCTTGGTGGTCGTCTCGCTAGAGCGCTGGCGGCCCGTAGCGGGCGCATGTAGCGGCGCGCTGCTCGTCTCTATGTATCTGCACGGAGCGTGAGGTGGCGCGGGCGGACGGACGTGTGTTTCCAGCTTTCGCCGCGGCCGGGGAGGGGCGGCGTCCGGTCGGCGGCCGGCCGGCCCGTGCCATGCCGGCGGAGAGTGAGAGCGGTCAGACCCGGTCGGCCGCCGGCAGCCGCAGCCTGCCGGACGGCGTCGCCGGCAGCCGCTCCGCGACCGGCCGCCGCTCCCGCCGTCCGCCCGGTTTCCCGGTTGGCGCGGCCCGGCGCGGCCGCCCGTCGCCCGGATCGCTCGCTTGCGGGCCAGCGGAGGCGCACGTGCTCGAGCTGTGTCAGGATGTGATGCGGACTGAGGCCGGCGGGTGCCGCTCCTGGCGCGGCGGGCCGCCGGCGGCGCGCGCGGGCCGGGCCCGCAGCTGCCCGGCGCTGCGCCGCACGTCTG